AGAGAAAGACAAACACCATATGATTTCACTCATATGTGGAATATAAACAAACCCACGGACTAAGGAAACAGTTCAGTGGTTACCAGGGGGAAGGGCGCTGGGGGGTAGTCACCAAGGGTGAAGGGGTGCACTTGTATGGTGATTGATAAATAATAATGCACAGCTGAAATTTCACAATGTTGTAAACTATTATGACCTCAATGATAACAAAATGTTTGCACAGCACCTGACATGCGATAAGAGCTCAACACTTAGCTCTTCTTTTATTGTCTATTCTGAACATTTTGTATAAATGGCATCATACAATATGTGGCCTCTTGTATCCAACTTTTTTCCCTTAGCATAAGGTTTTCAAGGCTCATCCATGTTGTGGCCTGTATCAGCACTTCATTCCTTTTTATGGCTGAATAATATTCCACAATATGGATTTACTACATTTTGTTTGCCTGTTTATCTGTTGATGGATATTTTATTATTTCTACCTTTTGGCTATTGTGAATAGAGATGCTATGAACATTGGTGTACAAGTTTTTGTTTTCATTTCTTTTCAATACATACTTTGGAGTAGAATTTCTGGATCATGTGGTAAATCTGTGTTTAACTTATTGAATAACCACCAAGTTGTTTTACATAGTGGCTGCACCATTTTACATTCCCACCTGCAATTTATGAAGATTCCAATTTCTCCACGTTCTTGACATTTGAGAGATATATATATACATACATATATATTTTTAAATTATGGCCATTCTGGTGGGTGTGAAGTGGTATTTTATCACGGATTTGTTTGGCATTTCCCTAGTGAGGGTGAGCATCTTTTACTATGCTTGTTGGCCATTTGCATCCCTTCTTTGGAGAAATGTCTATTCAGTCTTTTGTGCATTTTTAAATTGAACTGCTTGTCTTTTTGTTGTTGAGTTGTAAATATTCCACATATCTTCTGGATACTGAATCCTTATCAGATATATGATTTGTAAATAATTTCTCCAATTCTGTGGGTTGTCTATTTTTTTTTTTTTGAGGAAGACTGGCCCTGAGCTAACATCCTTGCCCATCTTCCTCCACTTTGTATGTGGGACACCTGCCACAGCACGGCTTGATGAGTCGTGCATAGCTCCGTGCCTGGGATCCGAACCAGTGAACCCCGGGCCACTGAAGTGGAGCACGCTTGCAAACTTAACTGCTATGCCACCGGGCCAGCACCTGTGGGTTTTCTTTTCACTATCTTGATAGTGTCCTTTGAGGCACAAACATTTTAAATTTTTTGTTATTGTTGTTGAGGAAGATTGTTGCTGAGCTAACATCTGTGCCAATCTTCCTCTATTTTGTCTGGCATACCAACACAGCATGGCTTGATGAGCATTGCTAGGTCTGTGCCTGGGATCTGAATCTGTGAACCCCAGGCTGCTGAAGGAGAGCGCATGAACTTAACCACTGTGCCACCAGGCCAGCCCCAGACATTTTTAATTTTGATTCCTATATTTCTTTAACGTGTCACTGAAGATGTTTTTGAGTGTTGTGCCACTAAGCCCCATTTTTCCATAAGCCTTGTGGTTTTTATCACACAATTTTGCATAGCATGTTGGTTTTTAGGGACACTTATGTCTCCTTAGAGCAGAAGTGGGAAACGACCCAGAAGAGAAAGCTTTGCTCATTTGGCTAACGGGAACTGGTTCAGCATTGCTGGGGCATCCACCCCGTGCAGAAGCTCAGATTAGAGCTAGCGAGCTCTTGCTGTGTGTCAGGCAGTTTTGGGAGCTCCCGCCACACACATTAACTCAGTAAATGCTCATGACAGCACTTGGAGGTAGGTCCTATTTTAGAACATTTTATAGATCAGAAACGGAGGTGCCAAGGTGTGAGGGAACTTTTTCAAGGCCACACAGGGGTAACTGCTAGAGATAGTGTCTGAACCCAAGCTGCCCCAGAGTGCATGTTCTCAACTAGACCCTGGGATAGAAGTTATTTTTTTTCACTTTTTCTTCTTTCTCTTAAGACTGTGCTGGGAAAAAAAAAAAGAAAAAGAAAAAGAAAAAACTTAAAAGAAAAAAAGCTGTTCTTCTTTTGCCATCTCCTTTACCTTTCTCTTCCCAAATCTTCTGTAGTTATTTTCCAATTATGCCTGAAAGAAAGTCTGCTAATTCACATCCACTGGAGAAGAGTCTGCTTAGCCTAGTGCGTGCCCGTCAGATGGACTGGGATGGTTCTCACTCTTGGGACCTGTGTACTTGTTTTTCAACCTCAGTTTCGTTTGCTGTCACTTAGTAGTTTACTAATCCTTGACAGGTTCTCCTGGATGTCTAATATGCATCTCCAACCAAAACAGGGCTCTGATTCCTAGTCTCTCGCCCAACCCACCACACAGAAGCCAGTCCCACTGCCTCCTCACCAAGCCTTCAGCAATTCTATCAATACCACCAATTTCTACTTTGATGCTCAAGCCCAAACATCAAGGTCACCCTTGATTACTCACTTCCCTTACCATCCCCCTAGCTCCACACAATTCAATCCATCACCAAGGCCTTTTGACCTAACCTCCAAATGACATCTCTGACGTGTCTACTCCACCCGACTCCCAGCTCTCTGACCCTCAGTCTAAGCAATCATCGTCTCAGGCCTAGAATCCAGGAATAACCCCTTCATCTGTTTCCTGATCTCTTGCTCTTCTTTAACCCATTCTCTACAGGGACTAAAGTAAATGTCTTAAAGTTTTGTTTTGACCAAGCCAACTCCCTTGCTTAAAATGCTTCAAAGACTTCTAGCTCAGAGTAAAATCTAAACTCACTGTACCCTAGTGAGGTCCTACATACTGGGGCCTATTTTTCTAACTTCATTTCTTACCACTCAACCCTGGTCACTATGCAAAGCTTGGCCTTATCTTTGTTCCTTGAACAGACCAGTCCCTTTCCCTCTTCTGCTCTTCTCATCTTTCAGATCTCAGCTCAGGTGTCATCTTCTCACATAGGATCCCAGGGGGGTGACCTCCCCCTGGGCAGGCTCTCTCTCATCAGTCTGTTTAGGCTCCTCATAGCAATGATCTCGACATGCACTTATCTTGTGTGTTTATTTATTTGCTTTTGTTTATCACCCCGCTTGTTTATTTTCTGTCTCTTACGCCATAATGCAAGCTCCTTGACGGCTGTGACCTTGTCTATCTTCATCATCACTAGATTCTGAGAGCTTGGCACATGGTGGTCCTCAATAAATGAATGAATGAGTGAATGAAAGAAAGAGTGTCTCCACTCATAATGTGGACATAAACAACTGAGTGTCTCCTCTATGTGGGGTACTCTACTAGTTGCTGAGAAAATTAAGATTCATAAGGTATCTTGGTTTTGAAAGGGAAAGCGGAAACAAAACAGGTAAACTAATAACTATATGAAATACATATATAAATATGAATATAAAGTGAGAAGAAGACATAGATAAAGGAGTAATTATGTCTGGCAGAAGAAGAGGGAAGCCAGAGAAAATACAGAGAGATAGTGACATGAGCTGAGCTTTGAAGGATGGAAAGGACCAGATAGACATGAAGGAAGAGGCATTTCAGAGCAGAGGCGGCAGCACTAAGCCAGGTGTGAGGATGTAACAAGGGGTCATGGTGTGTCTGAGGAGCAGCAAGGAGCCTGGAGTGGTTGGGGCTTAGGGCGATTTGAGGAGGGTGGCTGGAGATGAGGCCAGGATGGTAGGCCAGACCCAGCTACAAAGGACTTTGGAGGTTCAACAAAGTTTGGAATTTGTTGTACATGGCAACAAGGCACTCCTCTGTAAGCAGGGGAAAGACATCTTCATTTTAGAAAGACCTCTCTGACAGCAATGTGGCGAGAGCCAGGCCTGGAGACAGGGAGCTCAGGAGGTGACCTGAGAAACGGCAGCAGGCAGGGCAAGGAGAGGGGAAGTGCACACAGGGGTACAATTCACAGGACTTTGTCTAGTTGGATATGTTTAATGGGAGAAAAAGAATTAAAGAAGCTTGTGGGTTTTAGCCAGGGAAAAAGCGATGCTGTTAAACATGGAAGTATGGTTAAACTCTATCGTCCCCCATTATTGATATGAATTTATACCCCCTGAGATGAAGTGTATTGTCTGTACAGATAGCTGATTAAAGAGCAAAGGCTGGAGGCCAGGACACCTGAATTCTGTCTAGTGCTCATTTATGTACCAGTACTTCTCAAAACTCTTTGGGGAATCCTGATATTTTTAAAAAATTTCTAATCCTTAGCCAAGTTATACTTTTATAAAATAAAATAAAAAAGAATTATTAGAAAAATGATATTTAAAAAAAACACAAGCCTAACATTTAAGTCATTAGACACAGAATTTCCCTGTCAGATTGCTATAAGTGTTTCTAAAGGTTTACTCCCAATTTCTATACTTAAGGCTGCCCAGTAACAGATTGCAAACCAGCACTGGCTCACAGACCAACTGTGAGGTCTCCGGTCCACTGCAGGAGAAGTGGGATCTGAGTTTACAAAAGTGATGAGACTAAACAAAGTTGACATTAGTTCCACTGGGTTACCGCAGAGAATGATCCAGTTGTCCACTTTACCAACGACTATTTTAATCTCTAGTAAAAGTGTTCTTTGCACTGCTCCCTCTAGTGCACTGGAGGTCTTACTGTCACAACTGCACAGAAAGGAGCCTCTTAAGGATTTTGTCTGTAAAGAAATCATTTCCAGTAAACCCACAAGAACGGTTAGTGGCCATCCTGAATTTCAGTCCCTAGGTTACTGGACACGTTCCATCTATGGATCGGCAGTTTGGCAGCCTTCTCAGTTTAATATTCCTGCCTGCCAAAGGTATGACTCTTTGCTTGCTCATTCTATCCCTCTGCAAGGAAGAAAAAAAGATCTGGAACACTGCTTGCTGTATGAGCGCTGGAGGGAAAGAGCTAATATGCTCTTACACAATCCAGTTTATACTTGCATAATCCACTGAAGGAAACGGCAGAGTGACATTTGCACCTAATCCTTCCATGGGACTGTGACTAAGACTGCAAACAGCAGAGGGGAAGCACGCAGTTGCCTGGCACATGGGGGCAAAGGAAAGTTATGTGATAGGTGAGGGGAATCTGAAATACGAGGAACACTTTTTTTTGTTTTTAAAGGGCCTTTTACCTCTACAATCCTCAAATAGAAACACAGACAACAACCCAATTGTTGACAGAGCTGGGATGCCAGGAATAGGGCCCAGGGCTCCAGGAGAGATGTGGGATGATGAGAGGAGGGAGAAGTTAGGGGGCAGAGAGTCACAAGGGCTCCAAGACCATCTGGACCTAGCAGAATAGAGTTGTGCTTATTTTACACAAGTGACTCTGAGCCTTCTCTGCTGGCATCCTGTCACCTCATGTACGTGGTATTTCCTTGTTCCTTATCCAGACGAGAAAGGAGGAAGGTGGCGGCCTGTGTGTAACTGCTCTCAGCTCGGTGAAAAGCAGATGTGAGGTGAGAGCACAGCAACTTGTCACACTGGTGACCTTATTTTGTCTTTGGCCATTGCATGTCTGAGCTGCCACTGTGTTCTTTTTGCTGGTCTCTAGAATGCCGATGTATTTTAATGATAGAATGACAGCATTCTGGGGGCAAGCTTTAATATTTTGACTTTCTTGGTATTTACCATCAGCAGCGTCCGTTTCAATTTTAGTATTTGGGTATTTCTTGTGTAAATCCAAGCTAGCTGTCACTCACCAACTATTTTGACTGGAAGAAACCTCTGAGGGACTCCTCTTGTTTACCTGCCTGCCTTTTCCACTCCAGGCATGCCTGAATGGATGCATCACCACCGTTGCCTTGATCCTCCCTAATCTACTCCTCCAAATGCAAGAGCTCTCACACCAACCTGCCACCCCACCCCTACCTTACCTACCTGGTCCTCCAAGACAGAAATGTAGGAGACACCATGGACTACTTCCTTTTCTTCGTTTCTGCCTCCATACCCATGTTCAATCAGTCATAGTCTTACCAGTCTTATTCTCTACATAATTTAGACTGCTACTGCCCAATTTCTTTCCTTTGTTATCTCTTGCGTGGACTAGTAAGCTTCCTGTTCCCTCCCACCCCACACACAGCTGTCTCACTACCTCTCTTCTTCTTTGTGTTTGTTTGTTGAGGTCATGTTGGTTTATAGCATTGTATAGTTTTCAGGTGCACATTATTATATTGGTTCTGTATAGACAGCATCGTGCTCACCACCAATAGTCTAGATTTTATCCGTCCCATACATATGTGCCACTTTATCCCTTTTGCCCAGCATCCACCCTCTTCTCCTCTGGTGACCACTACTCTGTTCTCCTTATCTATAGTTTATCTTCCACATAAGAGTGAAATTATATGGTATTTATCTTTCTCTGATTTATTTCACTTAGCATAATACCTTCAAGGTCCATCCATGTTGTTGCAAATGGCACAATTTTGTCTTTTTTTGTGTGTGGCTGAGTAGTATTCCGTTGTGTATATATAGCACATCTTCTTTATCCATTCGTCTGTTGATGGGCACTTGGGTTGCTTCCATGTGTTGGCTATTGTGAATAATGCTGCAGTGAACACAGGGGTGCATAAATCTCTTTGAACTGTCGATTTCATGTTCTTTGGATAAATACCCAGTAGTGGGATAGCTGGATCATATGGTATTTTTAGTTTTAATTTTTTGAGAAATCTCCATACTGTTTTCCATAGCAGCTGCACCAGTCTACGTTCCTACCAGCAGTGTATGAGGGTTCTCTTTTCTCCACATCCTTTCCAACGCTTGTTCTTTCTTGTCTTGTTAATTATAGCCATTCTGATGAGTGTGAAGTGATATCATATTGTAGTTTTGATTTGCGTTTTCCTAATAATTAGTGATGTTGAGCATCTTTTCTTGTGCCTGTTGACTATCTACCTCCATGGTTGTCTGCCTGCGATCCATCATCTTCACTGTTGCCAGGAAATCCATCTAAAGTACAACTCTGACCATGTTGCTCTGGAGATGAAAAACTCCCACAGCTCCTCATGGTTAAGAGAGCCCTGGCTTTCAGCAGGGTAAACAAAGCTTTCTTTGACCCGTTTTCTGCTCACCTCTGTAGGGTCTTCTCTTCCGAGTCTTTGCTTATGCTTAGTGACACAGGGGACAGGGAGTGGCCTGGCGCACTCTGCTACTTCATGCTACTGCTCCTTTGCCAGTCTCATCTTCTTCCTGCCAGCCTGCCTCTGCTCAGGTGCCCTCCCTGACATCCCCACACTGGAGGAGGGATCTCAGTGTTCCTCTATCATATTTGATAGAAATTATTTGTACGTGGGCCTGTCTCCTCTGCTAGGCTGTGAAGTCCTTGAGGGCAGGGGTTGTGTTTTCTTCAACTCTGTATCCTTCGAGCATTGTTTAACACTAAATACCTACCAGACACTCAATTACTATTCACTGAAGTGAGTGGAATACACATTCCTCTGTTTTTCCTCATTTCTTTATTTTATGTTTCTTCCCCTGCATGAGCCAAGTAAACCAAGACTCATTTTCACTTACTAAGAGCACTTGCTTGTAAGAAATGAGATTAAAGGAGAGAAGCAGTTGCAGTGAAAGTAGACTGTGCGTGTGAGGAAATGCTGACAGAAGGACATTCCAGGGACTCTGTGTGCCCTTCACAGACTAGATGTCACCAGAGCCTTTAATGATTCTGTTTCATTATTTTTGACTTATTAATAACAAGTAACAATTATATTTAAAAAGTACTTTTCCCTTCATCATCTCACTTGAGCCTCACAATAGCTGTGAAATGACACTCTCCTCATTTTAGAGATGAGCAAACAGAAAGATTAAATGACTTGCCCAAAGTTTCTCAGCTAGTTGGCTAAGTATTCTAGTGCAAGATCTACTGCTGTTACTGCTCCATGATGCCGAAACCTCTTTACAACTAGTGGCTGGAATGATGAGAACTCTGCCACTTGGCATTTAGAAAAATCACGGGGAATTGGAGTGAGGGAATATTTTTGTCTTGTTTTTTTTGACTGACATTAACAAGGGGAGACCTTAACAGCATGCATTTATAGACTACATAGCACAATGTTTGGCACATGGTAAATGCCCAGCAAATTACCTCTCCATATAGATTTTAGAATAATCTTATTCACAGCTACAAAAAAACGTTGGTAGGATTTTGATAGGAATTGTGTTAAGCCCATATATCAATTTGAGGAAAATCAACATCTTTACTATGTTGAGTCTTTTTAATCCAACAGCATGGTATGTCTCTCCATTTGTTTAGAGCATCTTCGATTTGTTTTATCAGTGTTTTGTAGTTTTCATCACACAAATCTTACACATATTTTGTTATGTGGTACGGACACTGAAGTTTTTTTTTGAAATGATTATAAATGATATTGTATTTTTAATGTTGTTGTCCATAGGTTCATTGCCAGTGTAAAGGCATACAGTTGATTTTTGCAGTTTATCTTATATCCTATGATCTTGCTGAATTCACTTACTAGTTCTAGGAGGGGTTTTTTGCAGATTTTGGGGGTTTTTCTATGTAGACAATCATGTTATCTTTAAATAGGGACAGTTTTACCTCTTCCTTTCTGATCTCCATCACTTTTTTTGACGTTTCTTGACTTTTTTATACTGGCTAAAATTTCGAGCACTATGTTGAATAAGAGTGGCGAGAGTGGACATCTCAGAGAGTTCTCCATCCTAGAAGAAAAGCCTTCGGTCTTTTTGCGTTAAGTGTAATGTTACCTGCAGGAATTTTGTAGATGTTCTTTATCGACATCAACCTTGAGGAAGCTTCCCTCTAACCCTATTTTTCTGAAAATTTTTATCAAGAATGGATATAGAATTTTGTCAAATGATTTTTCTGCATCCGTTCATATGATCATATGATTTTTTTTCTTCTTTAGCCTGTTAACAAGGTGGATTACATTAACTGATTTTTGAATATTGAACCAGTCTTGCATGGCTAGAATAACTCCATTTGGTCATGTGTAGAATTCTTTTTATATATTGCTGAATTTTACTTGCTAATAGTTTGTTAAGGGTTTTTATGTTTATATTCATGAGAGATAATGGTCTGTAGGGTTTTTTTTTTTTTTTGGTACTGTCTTTGTGTAATTTTGGTATCAGGGTAGTTTTAAAATATGTTTTCATTTTTATCCAGTTCAATATGTTTTTTAAATTCTATTGAGGGGGCCGGCCCCATGGCTGAGTGGTTAAGTTCGCGTGCTCCACTTTGGCAGCCCAGGGTTTTGCTGGTTCGGATCCTGGGCACGGACATGGCACTGCTCGTCAGGCCATGCTGAGGTGGCGTCCCACATAGCTCAACCAGAAGGACCCGCAACTAAGATATACAACTATGTACTGGGGGGATTTGGGGAGAAAAAGCAGAAAAAACAAAAAGATTGGCAACAGTTGTTAGCTCAGGTGCCAATCTTCAAAAAAAAAAAAAATTCTATTGAGACTTTCTCTTAATCAGAGAGAATCCATGGTTTATTTAGAAGTATGTTGTGTAGGTTTTAAGTGTTTGGAGATTTTTCTGTTATCTTTCTGTTACATATTTGTAGTTTGATTACATTTTGGTTTGAGAACACACTTCGCGTGATTTCAATTCTTTAAAATATGTGGCATTTTCTTTAAGGTCCAGGATATGGTCTATTTTGTTCCATGGGCATGTGAAAAGAATACGTATTTTGCTGGTTTTGGGTGGAGTGTTCCATAAACAACGATTAGTTCCTGTTGGCTGATGGTGTCATTGATGTTTTCTATGTCCTTGCTAACTTTCTGTGTATTTTTCTATCAATTATTTATTTAAATTTTTTTTTTAGGAAGATTAGCCCTGAGCTAACTGTTGCCAATCCTCCTCTTTTTGCTGAGGCAGACTGGCCCTGAGCTAACATCCATGCCCATCTTCCTCTACTTTATACATGGGAAGCCTACCACAGCATGGCATTTGCCAAGCGGTGCTATGTCTGCACCCAGGATCTGGGCTGGCGAATCCCAGGCCACTGAAGCAAACGTGTGCACTTAACCACTGTGCCACCAGACCGGCCCCAGGTTCTATCAATTATTGAGAGAGGGGTGTTGAAGTCTCCAACTATAACTGTGAGTTTGTGTATTTCACTTTTCAGTTCTATCAGTTTTGCTTCACATATTTATGGCTCTGTTGTTTGGTGTATCACATTTAGGATTGCTAACTCTTCTTGGTCAGTTGAGACTTTATCATTGTTTAATGTACCTCTCTGTCTCTAGTAATTTTCTTTACTCTGAAGTCTACTTTACCTGATATTAATATAGCCAACCCTGCTTTCCTTTGATTAATGTTTACATGATGTATCTTTTCCAACCTTTTACTTTTAACCTGCCTCTATCATTATGTTTGAAGTGAGTTTCTTGCAGGCAGCATATAATTGAGTCATGTTTTTAATCCGCTCTGCCAATCTCTGTCTTTTAATTGGTGTATTTAAACCATTTACATTTAATGTAA